AAATCCACAGGGCTGGGTAGTGAAAAGTACTAGGAACAGAGAGAGCGAAGATTGCACTTTTTTCCTCAACTGAAGTGTACAGGGAGCCATTTTATTTTAATGGTGGGAGGTGGGGAGCTCTGTTTCGGAGAGAGCGGATCACTTTTCACGTGCTTTTGGGGTGTATTTCTGCTTGAGCGATGTATTCGACAAAAGAGGCGCTGCGGAATTTTGTGAGGCGAGTTTTAAGTTCTCGCTGGAGGGCGTTTAGTTCGGCACGACGTACAGGATTACGGTGTCTTTGCTATTGGCACTGGGTTCTGTTTTTCCTCTTAAGGAGGGCAAGAATATCTGCGGAGAGGGTTAGGTGGACGTGTGATGGAAGGTAGTGGAGAGTTCGATTGCGTTGGTAATCTTGTTTCATTTAAATGAAAATGTTTCGAGTGTGTAAGGAATGTGTAGCCAATCTAGTAAAGTGGTTGGGGTTTGAGGGGTTGTTGATTGGGCAGCCGACTTCAATTAGGGATGGAAGGTGGTCCGAGATTAGTGCGTCAAGGACGATAGGCGGATCGGCGGAAAGTGTAACATTTTTTGTAACGAAAATGTCAAGGATGTCAGGCAACAGATTGCTGGAGGCAGGGAGAAATGTGGGGTCAGGGGGTGCCTCAACTGTAAGGTTGAAGTCGAAAACTTTGGCAAGAAGGAAGGTGCCTTTACTATTGGTTTGTCGACTGCTCCAAGAGACGTGTTTAGCGTTGAAATTGCCTGCGACGATAGTTGGAACGCCTGAGGAGAGAAGGGGGAGTTCAGGAAGGTCTCTGTCCGAATGGGGGAGTATAGAGAGATAATCCTAAAAGGGCCGGATGTTAGTTGCACTTTGATGCCGATTGCTTCTAAGGAGTTTGTGGCTAAAGAGATACGCCTATGCTTAAAGAGTTCCTAACAAGAATGGCTACACCACCGGCACCACCCTTTTCACGGTCCCTTCTGTAGGTTGAGAAGTTTGGGATGAAATGTTTGATTTTTTCAGACAAATTAGTTTCGGTGATGCAAGCAACACCGATTGACTCTAGGGAGTATTCGAGTTCAGTTAATTTACCTCTTTGCGCTTCGTGCATTCCAAGTAACTGTACGGAGATTATGTGCGTTGGCTGTATTACACATTAGTGGTCGTTTGTAGGACGGCGACTTGCTACCATCGTTTGAACGATGGCTTGGGTCCTCTGTTCAAGAGAAGAAGCTGCAGGTGTGTTTAGGGACGCATTGCGTTTTTGAGGGGGATGGGGGAGCTGCTATCACTGTCCTGGTGTAAGATTTTTGGGGGAGCGTCCTTCCGGAGATGACTGTTGGACAGAGCGTTGGTTGCACGGACTTTTATGTGTTGGGGGCTACTACAGATAAAAAAAGGGGTACGGGCCTCTTTGGAACCTTGAGGCAGCCGTGGTTGTGGAGCGGTGACTTTCTTTGCAATCAGTGCAGGAAGGAGTGGCATCTTTCTTGTCTTTTGCCCTACATTTGGCAGTGATTTGGTTGCGGCCACAGAAGGAACAGACCCAGGTGACATGATAATAGTTGGCCGTGTGGAAGAACTTCAAACCTGTGGCCTTTTTGGCTTAACTTTTACGCTGAGCGTGCAAACCTTGTCAAGTTCGAAGATTGACTTGGACTTTGGAGAGGTTTTGTACAGACAAACGGACACTAAGGACCAGATTTTTCCACCGTTTGATATTCGGTGTACGCCGCGGATGGCAAAGCCTTTGAGAACAAGTTCGGTTTTGACACCGTCTGTGATGATGTCTCTCAACTTTAGATTCGTCGAGGAACGACGAGAGTCGACGAAAATCGTCCACGGAGTTGGGATAGACTCTTATATAGAGCCTTTGGTATTTATCGCCCGACGTGTGGCGATGTCGTGGCTGTTCATGGCGCGAAGAATGTTCGGCCAAAGGGATGGGCTTTTTGTTTGGGCTAGTTTTGCGGGTCTCTGCGCTCAGAATCAGAGGACGTTGACGTGGCCGAAGACAGGAAGGAGGCACGTCTTCGGCGTTTGTTACGCCACTTTCCGGCTTCTGTCAAGCCGTTAGCGACAGTGGGGGTGGATTTGAATCAGATATTTGAGCCCGGTTGACAGAAGAAGGCGCAACGTCTTCGCACATTAGCTATGAAGGGGCTCCTTGAGAATGCTGAAGGAAACGTTTATTATGGCGAGTTTGGCCTGAAGCTCGCCCGCCAAGAACATTATTTCCGCAATAGAAAGTCTCTCCAAGAGTACGGGACTCTTGGGGGTAGCCATTTTGGAATGACTGACAAATGAAGCTAACCTACTCCTGTGGAATGTAGTGTATGTGGTATGAAATAAGGCAATGTTAGGTTTTTATTGTTAGTTTAATTGAAGGGGGTGAGGGGAGTTCAGAGGGACTTTGCGTACTCCGTCCCAAAGAACTGTTGGTTAGTTATATTTTAAATTTGGTTAAACTTACCTAAAACGGCTTGGCAGTTGTTGAAATCTTGTAGATATTGTTGAATATTAAGCCACCTAGTTTAATGTATCGTCCCTGTACAGGAAGTGATAACTGCCGGTTGATAGAAAACGGTAGAAAATATTGCTGATCGCACGTACGTATAAGAGCATGAATGGTTCCAGTTCGTATGAAACGACCTCGCGGCAACTATTTATAGAGGCTGGCTATGTCCTAGAAAGATCAAAAATATGTCGGGTTGCCTACACATGACACTGTATGTCGCTGATCGCTGCGATTATTAACGTCACCTCGGAAGGGAGCAAGCTGATCCGGATGGATGATCTTCATTTTTACTCATCCCTTCTGAGTTCGATAAACAACGTCGTTGATGGATGATCTTCATTTTTACTCGTTCCTTCTGAGTTCGATAAACAACGTCGTTGATGCGTGTAGTAACAGTTTATGGACCATCCCAAGCTTGTTACAGTTTCGGGCAGCGTCCCTTCCGCCTTGAAGAATTACATATCCAATCTTTACCGCTTTCATTAAAACCAGCAGAGTTTGCTCGTAGATCGTCTCTGGCCTTTATGCGATCACTTTTGAATCGTAGCTTCATACACATAGCGATATGAATAGCTTCTAGTCGTTCTCGTAGTTCGCCCACGTACTAGTCTGTAGGTACTGGAAAGTGTCTACGACGACCAAACATCGTGTTTGCTAGCAACCTGAGTTCCTTCCCAAATAAAATGCTGGGCGGTATTCTTCCAGTTGTCTCATGGATGGCGGATCTATAAGCTGAAAGGAATAATGGTATATGTCATGTATGTGTATATGTTAGCTAATCCAGTCATTGATAAGTTTTTTAGCAACGGCGTGTGCTCTCAGATTCTGTGTCGCATGTACTTCGGGTCACCTGTTAAGTTATCCATGACTATCAAGATGTATCGATTACTGGAGTTTGTCAGTACGAATAGTCCTGCTAAGTCGACTGTGATTCTCTCAAATTTCACTTCCAACGTTGTACCGATGCATTCGTCCACGACTCCTTGTCTTCGATCCCATACTGGCGGCTCATGTCAGGCATTTCCTGCACCAATCTTCCAGATTGCTTCTACTTCGTAACCAATAAAATACGTTCTATAGAGTCTTTGTTACGCCAGGGATTACTTGTAAGACTTCTAAAATTCTGTTCTTCGGAAGCACCACTTGCTGTTTGTTTCTACTTCCACGTAGACTCTCTCACATTCTCTTAAAAATGCCATGGTCTAAGACAAGGGAATTCCACTGGCCCAATAACGTTTTTGTTGTTTGGCTTAGATGGTTCACAATTGCTCGCTCGCGATGGTGGTCTTGAGGTTCTAACTTCTTTCCATCTCATAATTGGGCCAATATCTTCGTCATTCCTGTGATCTTTGATTAATTCCTAATCTTCTGAGAACCCTTCAAGCTAAATTACAACAGTTAGATTACAACAGATTAATGTCAGTTCTTGCTTCTTCTCAGCAGTTTTCCACGCAAGGTCTACGGGATAGTGTATCCGCGTTGCCATGTTGTCTGCCTGGTCGATGCTTGATGTCTAACTTTTATTCCTGAAGTCGTAACCATCGTGCAATTTCTTTTTCCAGTTTTTTAAATTGCAGTAGCTGCTTCAGCAAGACGTGATCCGTTTTTAAGAGGAATTTCTGTCCATACAGGAACTTGTGGAAATGTTCAAGGGTTTTAAAAACTGTTGCTTGGGATAATACACCCCCAAGTCCCACATTACTAACGTTGGCATCAACGCTGAACCGTTGATATATCAAGATTGGGGCTCCAGAGAGTATAATCTTGAGATGTTCAAATGCTTTTTCGCATTCGGCTGTTGATTGGAATGAACCTCCATCTTCTGTAAATTTGTGCAGTGGTCGGACAAATCCTCGTATGAAACTGAGGAGCAAGGTCTGTCTGTCTGAAAGCTGTATTCGTGAATCCGGCTTTCGAGCAGTGGTGGGCATGACGAGAGAACCCCATTCAAGAATCATCTTACGTATTTCAAATCCGGAAAGGACAAAATGTTTTCGATACCTTAATGTGAATTAATTTTTACGATTTTCGGCGTGGTCGTGACAGTGGCAACAATTTTTTTCATTAATTTGAAAATAGTGGTAAAAATTAATTTAAAAATTGATTCAATTTAATGTATTGAAAACTCTACAAAAATTCTTCTAAAATTCTCAGTCTAAGTATTTGCTTTTTCGAATAACCCGAAAACATCGAATTATTGTTTTTTTTAATTATTCGTTCTTTTTACGAATAATTCGTTCTTTTCTTGTCACCTGCAGTTGATTATAATTAGAAATGACTGGAGTACCACTCAATTTAACGTTCGTTATCAATCATTAATATATTAAAAAATATAACTCATCTACGAGATTGAACATAAAGCAAATAAAAACAAGCGAATAACTCGAAAAAAAATTGATTCGACTATTATTCGGACACCACTAATTTTAATTTCCTAAAAAGATGTGAAATTAGTATAAATACTATCTAATTGAATTAATTTTTAATTTTTGTTAGACGCAAGAGGAAGTGGACATAGACTTAACGGATCCCGACTTGAACGACGCAGCTATGAAAATTCAAGCGTCTTTTAGGGGGCACATGGCTCGTAAGGAGAACGAACAGCAGAAAAGTCAGCCTGAAGGGAAACACCAAAAGTAATTTTGTGGGACTGGTTGACATATATATTTTTCTCCAAGCAACATTACTATAAATAAAGATGAATTTTTAGGCTTTATCATAGCTTGAAACATTATTATGTAAAATATACATAATACTACATACATTTAAACACGTTTTTAGAACTATCTCCGATTTCGAACTGTCCAAAGTGAGTCAGTCAGTGAATTAAAGGAATTGTCGTTATTACCTTCATGTTTTTCATGACGTTTTTATATCTTATAACAAGTCGTAATATTTGATATTTTGAGAAGGAATAGTAAATGTATCTGACGCATACTCAATCTTACAGTTTTTTTTCGTAAAATGATCTCATTTAATTATATATAAAGAATCTATATCTGACAATTATTNTTAAAAATCGATAAATCATAAACAATCAAAATGTTTTGTATGCTACACATTATCAATTACTCATTTTATAATAGTAATTTTAACTGTGTAGAAAACTTTTCTATAGGTATTTAATGCGCAAATAATAGTCTACTTTAGTATTTTAACTTATGTTGCATATGTTATTATGTTGTACGCGCATATGTAAAGCTATAAACGTTTTGATGATAACATTCGATGAACAATATAACTCAATACAAATATTACTTTTTCATACTGTCTTTGTTTTGTTGTAAGTACAAAATTAGTAACATTTTGTAAATAACTGACGGATTCTGTGTACAAATACTCCAATACGTATTATAACATGTTAAAATAGCCGTTTTATTTTTTTCAGTAAATTTATTGTTTATTGTTACGTTTCCAGAAGGAAATTCAAAACGGCTATATACCTATTCCTATAGATATGTAATACATGCAGGTTCCATTCTTGTATTAACATATTGGTTACGTACCTATACATTTTTTCGTTATCTTGTTTAATTAGTGTTTTACATCAAAATATTTTTAATGAAAATAGCATCATTTTTCATTCAAAATATTTCAGACAACTTATAGATATTTACTCGTAAATTATTTTTATCAAGATATACACCTACAGGGTGGATTATTTTCATTTCCTATACGACCAAGCAGTTAAATGGGAATTAATGCCAGATGCGGATGTCCCATTTGCGTGCAAGGTGATTAACTGCTCCACTTGCGGACAAAATGGTAGCATGTAAAATAAATTTATGCTATATAGTTCCATTTGCGTACAAACTATTGAATAGGTAAAATATATAATATGCATATAGTAGATTCTCTTGTTTCCTTTTAAATGTTATTTCTTTGACATTCTTTCATTAAATTTTGGACTAACAAAGATATTGTTGGGTGAGGCTTTGTTGTATAATTTAATCTATTATTCCATCATTCAGCAACATTATTTATTCGATGTACTTGTTTATGGCAGATCCAGATTGCAATTGTCATAGTAGAATTGTCAAGTCAATTTTGGGCGAAATGGTCAAAAAACATTGTAGTTTTTCGTTTATTAGAACGTCCTCTTAAATGACGATCTATCCGTCTACTACACCGTTAACTGGGAGTAACTCTAAAACAGCACACATACGGAGTTGTAACCGTTTTACCTTTTACCTTTCATGTTTTCAACATTGGACAGATCAGAATATATTCAAAAAATAACGCATAAGTTGTCCGCAAATGGCAATTCTAGTTACTATAAAGATATGTCTGTCTCTATGGGACATTTAACTGTTTGTACACAAATGGGACGTCCGCATCTAGAAAGACATTGTTAAACGGGACCAAAACAGCACAACATTAATACTGATTATGAGACAATCAGTGATAATCTTGGAATTAACGTTTGACACTTTTTATTTATGTATAATAAATCTTCATCTTTTATTTCATGAATCGTTGAATGTATAATTTAATAAGTATATAAGCTTATTTGATGTGCTTTTCCTGATCATTAGAAAAAATGAAAACACAAATCATTAGCACAAAAATTATTATCAATATTGATTTACTTTACAATTTTAGAATAGATTGAAGTTGAATGAATTGAAAAAATGACTTAGTTGAGATGCCAGTATATTTACGATTAGGTGAATTTAAGCCTAACACGTTGCAGCATGCAGTATTCATAAATTTTAACAGTAAACTCACCACAATATTCTAAAAGTAATAAAGTTCATAACTCTTTTGTGATTCCCATATAAACAATAAATGGCCCATTGCTTGGATATCAGGAAATACGCCACCTTGTGTGTGTATTTTTATCAGAGTAATAAAAACTGTAGGCCCTTCGTATTATGATGTGACATGTAATACGAACAATAAGTAAAATAAAGTTTTAATTACTCTTTTTCAAACTTGTAATGAACGTTTATGGATAAGCCGAAATGCATTAGAAAACCGTAGACTATTAAACAATTGACAAATATAATACAGAATCCGTTTTAAACTATTTGCAGTGTAGTTTTGATGAAATAAATAATTGATAGTATGCTTTTAAAAATCGCGAAGGACCATTTTCAAGTAGATATTTGATTACAACTAAATTTTAAAAATGGTACTTCGACTTTCTGCCAAAGTAAATGTAGTATAAAATGTTGTAAGTATCTCTACCATTGAGATATGCAGTAATGTGTTTATTTTACAGATATTCAAACTCTTATTTTAGAGTTGAAAAAGAATTGGAAAAATCAAGGATGGTATAATTTAATCCTAAAAAAGTGTCAGATCCACCGGATACCAGTACCTGTAGTTTAAAATTGTCAATACTTGAAATTAGAAAAGCCTAAAGAGCCAAACCCAGTAAATAATAATTAAACAGTAACTATTGGCTTTAGTAATCATTTGTATTTCTCATGTAGGCTGAAAAGATTAAACTTGCCAAATTCCTTGAATTAAACCTGTACTACATTCCTTGTTGTTATCTCTTATTTTTAATTAAATAGTTTTTAATGCATTACACCGTAGACACTTTGAATAGGTACATATATAAGTTGCTTTATAGCTATTTGTTGCCCCTGTAAACGTGAATATTTTATGATCGAAAACATATTCTAATAGGTATAATTGTAATAACAATACTCATCAATTGCAGATTTCGTTTCAGATTGTGTTTAAAACAACGTAATTATCATAATAGAACGGTCAAATGCATTTACTTCATACAAATTCAGGTATTCGATTAAAAAAATAGTTCTCAGAATTATTTTCTTAAATAATATTGCATATACACTCTCATTATCTATTGTCTAAGGAAACTAAACTTTTCTACTGCAATATTTACAAAAATGAACGGAATTTATTCCTTTTATCCTTATAGAGAGCAATTTTAAAAGCCCAAATAAATAAATTCTAACTAATCCAATAATAGTTCGTAGCGTTTAGGGTTTTCGTAGTTAATATACATTTTGCTTTGTTACATTGTTAGTGACGTGTAAATATGAACGCACTTATATATATTTTTCTTGTTAGTAGCAATAAACTTTCTATCTACAACTAGCAAAAGCAATCTTTTGTATTTTTAAATGCGAAAATGTATTGTATAATTTAATTGTTTAATTTATCGTCTTCTGGAATGCCCCAGAATACTTTAAAAGTTAATTTCGCTATTTTTGTCATTGTATCTAATTTCGTTTCTCATTCCTGTAACAAAATAAAATTTAAAAAAGTACTGTATGGTTTTCATTTATGTCTATTTTGGCCACAAATAGTATTACATTAGATTTTATTGAACGACGACATATACAGGGTTCTTCAAACTGAGTGGTACATTAGGCGTTTTAGGGAAGGTAAGCGTGTATGAGATGATAGGGGTTATCGATGATCTTTTTAACTAAAATAATTTCAACTGTCCGCTGCTCCCGGCTATGCCAGAAGTTGATGTGGACTTTGTTAATTTAAATAGAATGGTATAAGTATCTTTTACTATCTTTGCATAAAACACAAAATTTTAAGGTAACTTTGGTAATCAACTTGTCTACCTACGATGAAGTTTCTGAGATAACTTAATTTATAAAAAAAACATCCACAAAAAATGACTTAGTGTTGAATTTTTTTTTTTCAGCTACAGTTGTATCTTATGGCTAATGTTGTACCGAAGTTTACACACGAATAACTTCGTTTTTTCAAATACCACATTTCATTTTATCCTTCGATTTCTCTTTTGATCCATGTGGATGTTTCATATTGCTTCATTTGAAAGGCTTTGAATAAATTTGGATTTTTATCTGAAATAGATAATTTCAATAACTTTGACACAACAAAAATTTGTCATGGATAATTGACAGCTACTGCAAATGTTAAAAATCTAAACCTCTTGTTTTTTATGTTACAAAAATGATAGAAGGTCGAAGCTTATAATGAATAGCACAATTCAGTTGCAGATGATTTAATCAACCGTATCCTAATTTAGCTCCAATAAGCGAAAATTTGGCAGAATAAAGAGGGATTTAACGGAATTTGATGTCTTCAAAGCTTCGAATACCACTTCTAAATGTATTGCTGGAGATGAAAACAATGAAGTTAATGTTCTACTATTTTTTGTTTTTTTGTTGATCAATTGAAGGAATATTATTTAAACATAAAATGCATGCTTATGAATTTATCAATGTCCTGAATCTCCATCCATAGGATTCTCTATAAACACAGAATAAAGTATCTGAATTAAAATATTCACTATAAGCTTCGTCATGGCACACTTTTGTTATGCCAAGGTTCCTGAAATTATCTATTTTAGACAAAAATCCAAATTTATTCAAAAATTTTCAAATAAAGCACATCGATCAAAAGAGAAATCGAATGACAAAATAAAATACGGTAGGTGCTATTTGAAAAAACAAAGTTACGCGTGTTTGAAGTTTTTAATTTTTTTCAGTCATTTTTGTGGAAGCTACGGTTGTTATAATTTGAATTAGGGTAGCGATTTTTTTTTTATAAATTAAATTATCTCAGAAACTATTCATTATAGGCAAGTTAATTATCAAAGTTACCTTAAAATTTTGTGTTTTATACGAATTCGGCGTAAAAAAGATGCTATTCCATTTAAAATAACGAAGTTGGCATCAACATCCGGTATAACCGGAAGCGGCCGATAATTGGAACTATTTTACTTAAAAAGACAAATCTGGAGATGTTATTTGGAATAAAAGCTGTGTACTGTATTTTTTATTTTATTAATATTAAATTCAATAATAATTCAAGTGATTTCTCTTATTGAAGTTGAAGATTCTGTTATTTCTGCAATGATACTCTATTAAACCAAATTTTTCAAAATTTGGCCGTTGCAGAGGTTTATATTAACTTAATTTTTTATTTTGTAGGTTAAACATACACTTTGCGTAGAATGACAGTAA